ACACACACACACACACACACACACACACAAATTAAAATAAATCTTGAGAGTTCAGAGTGCAGCTCAGCGTACAGAACATTCTTGAGAGCTTCACTGCTGAGAGCACCTGGCACTCGGGCCCGAGAGGAAGGGGTTTGTATCTTCCTGCCCACACCCTCAGCCTTTGGGGAAGAGAAGATGGAGACCCAGAGCGAATGGACCCCAGTGACGTCATTGAGATCAACTGGAATGAGATGGTTGGTAACTCCGATGATATGAATTTAAGGGCATCTCTTCTTTGAGGCATCCATCAGATATTCAGCAGAAAGTTACTGTTCCTGGTACTGAAGGATATGTCGTGACGGACCAAGCTCAGTCAGGTACTGACAAGACAGCCACATCTGCCATTTCCATCCTGCAACAGTTGGAGACAGAGTTCAAGGACAGCCAAGCATTAGTATTGGCCCCATCAGAAAACTGGGTCAACAGATCCAAAAGGTGATTTTGACATTTGGAGACTATATGGGAGCAACTTGTCACTTTGGCATTGGAGGAAGAAATGTTTCAGTGAAATGCAGAAGTTACAGGCCCACGTGTTGGTTTACCAGGGAGAGTGATATGTGAAAGAGAAGACATCTTTCTCCAAAATGGATCAAAATGCTTGTTTTGGATGAAGTGGCTGAAACGCTGAGCTGTGGCCTTAAGATGAAATCTAGAGATTTTCCAAAAGTTAAACAGAAGGAAAGAGATGTCATCATGAGGGGATCCTGGTCAGCTGTGCAGTGCCTGTGTTTTCTGTGACACTGTGGAGAGGACAGCAGGGCACTCTGGGAGGCGGAAAAGGACTCAATAACCTTTGAGGATGTTATTTTGAATGTTACCCTGGTGTCGTAGGTATTGCTAGATGCTTCACAGAGGAAATTAGACAGAAATGTTATGTGGGAAACCTTTAGGGACATGCCCTCTATGGGAAAGTGAGAAGATGTATTTCAGAGGAGGCCCGTGAAAGTGAGGCGCATCATAACTATGGAGATATTACCCAGGTTCCAAGTCTTTACCATCTCTGTCTCTCTATCTCTACACTACTAGAGTAAAACCGTCAGAATGTAGTGTCCCTGGAATGGTGTTCATGTGCCACTCATGTTCTCACAGCCATGTTGTCCTGGCACTGAGTACCAGCGATAGAGGTAGGGAATGGAAAGGACCGTCTAATCGTAAGCAGTGTGGGAAAGCCTGCCATCACTCGCCTTTCAAAGACATGAAAGGCTCACTCCGGAGAGAACCCCTATGAACACAAGGATTGTGGAAAAGCGTTCCGTTCTCTTACGAGCCTTAGAAAACACAGGAGAGTACACACTGGAGACGGACCTTATAAATGCCAGGTGTGTGGGGAAGCCTTCTGCTCTTCCCATTCACTTCCAGTACATGAAGTGACTCATAGTGGAGGAAAACATGGGTGTAAGGAATGTGGGAAAGCCCTTGTTCATTTTTAATTTTCACAAGTAAATGAAAAGGTTGACACTAGAGAGAAACTCTGTACAGCTAAGGAACGTGGAGAACGTCAGTTGGGAGCACAGGCATTCAGAGACTCGGGGTGAAGCACACTAACCGTAAAGCATATTATTATGTTAAATGGTATGTGCGATCATCTTCAGAGTCCTTCATAGTCCAGTTCACTTCTAGTGCGTGATTGATCAACTCAGGGAACCAGAAAGACTATGACTGTAAAAATATTTAAAAAACATTAAAAGAAGAAAACACTGGCAGAGCAACATGGTACATGTTTGTAAGAAATTTTTTTTTATTCCATGTAGATGAGTGTTTCACCTGCATGTGTGTAGGTGCACCCATGTCATGCAGTGCCCGTGAAGATCAGAAGAGGGCGTCAGGTCCCCTGGAACTGGAGTTACAGACGGTTGTTAGCCACCATGTGGGTGCTGGGAACTGAACCTGGATCCTCTGTAAGAGCAGCCAGTGCTCTTAACCACTGAGCCAGCTCTCCAGCCCCATGATACACATTCTTGAAAGAAACAGACAACAGCATTGATCTTGACTGTTGATGCAGCTGAGGAGGGAACCGGGTTGGAGGCCCCAGGAGAGCAGAACTGTAGGCACTGCCTTGAGAAGTACTCAGCAGCAGCATCCTCTTGGGAAGCTGGAGATCAGACCCAGAACCAGCTTCTGGGCCAGGCATAGAGACATCCTCGTTCTAAAGCACATATAGTCTTTTAGGTCAGACCAGGAGCCAGGTAGGGAAAAGAAGTCATTGCAGGTTGCTGACCCTTTTCCTGTAAGTCCAAGGACAGAAAAACTATGATATAAAAGTGAATGTCAACAATAAATACAAGCAAGTGTTCTGTCAGCTGAGCTCCACCCCTCACACAGGCTTGAAACTTTCTGACAAAAGAAACCCTCACTTCCTCCTGCAACCCACCCTGCTGCAGAATGCTGTCCTCCCGGCGCAACAGCCATTGCCATCTTCATCAGGTGCCACTAGAGAAGTTCAAGACTGGGACTGCTGATGCTCCCTCAGAAGGACGGGGTGGGGAGGTCGTCAGGCCCTCGTCTGAGCTGCTCCTTCTGTGCTTCTCAGCTGGCTCTGTGTGATTCTGTCTCCACTACATGTGCTCTGTAGTCTTGGGAGATGCTAGAGCGTAGACTATGGAAGGTTAACTGAGGGAGACTTCATCTACGAAGCCATAGGGATGCTGCTATCCATGGTAGGGTGAAACTTTTCAGTAGCATGGCTGTTTAGGGGTCACCTACAATCCTGTCAATAATTTCTCGCCTGTGTTCTGTAAGTAAGAACGTTATACTCATTGGTTCCCTAGTTGAACTTGGGTGGAATATACTTTTGTCTATTATAGGTGTTCTATCTGGACGTCTCCCCAGGGAACAACTCACTTGGCACATTTCCTCAAGAAAAACAGAGCAGGCATGTCAGCTGCTTATTGAGATCCTTCTTGAGCTGAAACTAAAAGAGGAAACACTTTCAACCATTAAAGACCTCCCTCCACAATGAGAGACACATTTCCATTCTCCACTGCTATCACAGCATGAACCCCACATGAACCTGGGCACTGAGGGAGCCTTGCCTGTCCAGTGGCTAAGACCCTAGCCTGGGTTCCCTCTGGCCCTGCAGGCCAACTTTGCTCTGATACTGGTTTCTGTGTCATCTAGAACCTTCGAGCATTGCTTTCCTGTCTCGGTCACTCATGGAGACGGGTGAGTACATCAGGGGAAGGCAAGGCTCTGCCTTGGTAGGACCTTATACATCTGGTGGCTGAGACCTTAGCCTGGGGCTCCCTTCTCCCCAATGGCCAACTTTGCTCTGACAATGATCTCTGTTCTAGATTCCTCCAGCATGACTTTTCTGTTTCCATCTATTGTGGATGAGTAAGTAGGTCAGGGAAAGTCAGGGTCCAGCCATCTGCCAGGTTTCCTTATCTTCTTCTTCTTTGGGTTAGGAGTTGAGACAGGGTCTCACTATGTAGCTCAGGCAGGTCTTGAACTTGTGACCCTCCTGCCTCAGTGTCCCATGTGCTGAGAATACAGACATGAACCATACCACACCCGGCCTCCTCACCTTTCTTGCCCCTCACGTGCATGACGAGGCCCACTGCCAGGAAGATGAACCCCAGCACCAGGCCCCCAACTCCAGTCAGTGTCTTGTTCCGGGCAGAGTTGGACTGGGCCCCTGGAAGAGTAGAATCCAAGGTTAGAGTCACCTCCAGGAGGTGAGAGCTCAGGGCCTGTCTGGATGGATGTGGAACATCAGCATGAGGGACCTCATGCTGTAGAAGGTCTACAAGGTCCAGACCTGGTTTCAGTGGGGACAAGGCTGATTCTACCCACTGCCTTAAGAGGCAGGACAGGTCAGGCTAAAGGCTGAGGAAGACACAGCTCCCCTGTGTGAGGACAGCATGGGAGAACGTCTGCCTCCCTAGACCTCCTGACAAGGGCAGATCCTGAATCTGTACGATCCCAGGACAGTGACGGTCCATCACCTCCAGGTCAGAACCAGCCTCAGGGGCCTGAAGGAGGCACAGGGGGATATCTGGTCCCCGCGCATGGACACCTGGGGCTGGATGAATGGACCTCACAGCCAGGGCGCTGTCTGCTGTACAGAATGTGAGTGTAGAAGGGTCACTGGGAACTCACTCCACTCCACGGTGACGGGTCTGTCCAGGCTGGGGTGCTCCACGTGGCAGGTGTAGACGTCTCCCCGCTGAGGGGTCATTTCCAGTGTCACCAGGATCTGGAAGGTCCAGTCTCCGTTGCGGATCAGGTCGGTGGACACGATCCCAGCTGTTTCCTCCTGGTTGTTCCGGAACCAGAGGACTTGGATGTTGCCTGGGTAGAAATCTGTCACGTGGCACATCAACAGGTTGCGGTGCTGAAGGACCACCTTCTTGGAGGGCGACACATGTACCTTAGGCTGGACTGGGAAAGGGGACACATGAGAGAGTGTGAATGCTTAGGTGTTCCATTAAGAAAGTGTTTTCTAGATTTTTAAGATATAAATTTCATAATTAGGACGGGGGATACAGGTTGTACTAAAAGGATGGGAGTAGATCTTCACAGAGAACACACAGGATTTTTTTTTTAATTAAAAATTGTATGTGTATGAGTGTTTTGCCTGCATGTATGTAAATAGACCATGTACATGTAATGCCCATGGAGGCCAGAAGAGGGCTTCAGATCCCCTGAAACTGGAGTTATAGATGACTGTTAGCCACCATGTGGGTGCTAGAAACTGAACCCGGGTCCTCTGCAAGAGCAGCCAGTGCTCTTAACTGCTGAGCCGTCTCTCCAGCCCCAGGACACACAGGATCTTAATTCCATAATAAAGGCTGGGAAGATTAGAAGCAAACTAGAAACAGCACTTTGTGTCAGGTTAGCAGAAATTCTAACTATAAGCCCTCATTAGTAGTTGTGGGTTTTTTGTTGTTTTAGAAGGAATATTTCTCCAGTTGTGAAAATTCCTGCCTTTCTAATGCTCTGTCTTGATGAGAAGGATGCAGGATTTGCTCAAAGTACCAGAAGGATGACTCTGTAGGTAAAGGCACTTGCCTCAGAAGTCTGATGACCTGAGTTCAGTCCCCTAACCCACATGCTAGCAGGAGAGAACTGACTCCTGCATGCAGTCCTCTGACCTTCACACACACGCTCTTCCACCCAAATAAAGGAATGCAATTTTTCAATTTAAAAAATTAACAAATGTTTCTTGAAGTTAAGACAAAGACCAAAGCATTCCCTGGTTTATTGATCTCATACTTTTATAATAAAATTAAATGTATGTGAAAGAAGTTTGACAATGAATTACAAAAGTAGTCTATATTTTTATGGACTTTGCTACTTATAAACCCCCAAGATCTTCACATTTAGAGCAACATCCTCAAACCCGACACTCCGAGCCCTATATGCCTGACGAGTTGGAGTTCTCATCCAATTCCCAAGTTTCTCCTCTGGTTTTCTGGGTTCCTTTCAGCCTGGGGCTGAAAGCTGATATCTACTTCCTGTGACTTCCCCGTAGTCCTGAAAATTGCTACTCTAGGCAGCTCTCACCAGTATCTTCCCTGAGTCCAGAGGTGAGGAAAGATCAATATGCTGTAGAGAATGTTCCCATCTAAGATTCTAGGTCCTTAATGATTTCTTTCCTTTTCAGTTTCTATTTCACAGAAAACAGAAATGTCCTGAGAACAGGAGACATTCCTGAACGATGAATCCCACCGTTCCTTGAGCCCTTGACCTCACGTCAGCTGCCCATGCTGCTGGCCTTCGCCACTCACGGTGATTGAGGGACACCTTTTCTTCAGCCATGCTTATAAACTCACAGCTCATCAGACAGTCTAGCCCTTTCTGAACTGCAATTCATGAATGATATTAAATGTCTCACCCTTTGAACCCTTGGGCTTCACACAAATCTAGGCCTATTCTTGCATGTTTATGTTAAGGCCAGAACATTCCATTTCATACTTTGTAACATACAAATGATTTCTAGGAGGTGCTGGAGCTAAAGATACAGGCTCAAAGGACATTTCATAAAGGTAACAGAGCTCTACGTAGTCTAAAACTACATGTTGATTGGCCACAAAACATTCGTTCACCTGTTCCTAGAGCTTTATTAGTTCTTCACACTAGAAATTTCCTAGCTCAGATGGGTGTGATGGTGTACACCTGAAGTGCACAAGCACTTTGGAGGTTAGAGTAGGCGAATTTAGAATTTAGACTCTTCAAAAAAGCATTAATAAAAAGAAAAGAAATTCTACCGTTCTGTCATCTCCCTCTGCCTTTTTTCTTATATATTTATTTTTTAAATTTTCAGATAGAATAGAAAGATTCCCTGTGCTTTCTTCTCATTCATGATCACTATCCCTGTTGTAATATTTTCTCATCTCTTTGGTCTGATTCCAGTCTCTCCTTGTTCTAACTCATTTAATAATCTCAAAGCACAGCTCTAAATTTGATATTCCTACTTTAAAAACTAAAACAGCCAAGTGTGGTACATACCTATCTGTAATTCTAGCACTCAAGAGCTTCAGGCAGGTGGCTGGTGAGTCTGAGTCCAGCTTGGGCTACATAGTGAGACTGTGTTAACAACGACCACCCTCAGGGTTTGGCAACACCTACCTGGCTATATGGGATTCCTGGAGCTAACTGAAAACAGATTCCAGACCTCACAGGGCTTCCAGATTCCTCACATGGGCTTCCGAGCAGCAATTCTGGGGAATCTGCTGTCAAGGTCTCCAGGAGGGTCTGTCGAGCACAGCTGTTTGGGACGCTCTGTCACGGGTGACTAACCCAGACTCAGGCTGGAGCCCAGGGCTGTCTGCAGCCTAGCAATGGATGACACCAAAGGGAACGAGCCACATGAAGCAGACCTGCGTCCCCACACGCTGTGGGTGCAGCCTGCAGTTGGGCCAATCCTATTACTTGCCTCACATAATTACTTTGCCAGCTTTTCTAGACTTGGGTCCCTGTCCTGATTCCTTTCTAATCTGACCCATTCCCACTTTTAGCAGATGACTCAGCCTTCCAGCTTCCCAAAAAAGTATTAAAATAGTGAGCTTGTAGAAGGCTCCCTGTCCTTCTCTGATTGCTGCTTCCCTGGGTCTCAGGATGGTCTCCAGCCCCCACTCCTTCCACAGCTGAAGGGCAGAGGCCAGGGCTCTTCTCTTCCCTTACACTCAGGCTTCCTGAAGGAATTGTACAATCCAGCTCTGTGCAGGAGAGCTTCAGTTGTCAAGTTACACACCTGGGTAGAGGGAAAGTGAACTGATGAACTGTCTCCATTGGATTGGCCTGTGGCCATGTCTATGGGGCATTTTCTTGATAGATGTGTGATGTGGGAGGGCCCAGCCCACTGTGGACGGTGCCACACCTGGGCAGGTGGGCCTGTGTTGCATAAGAAAGCAGGCTGAAGCCGGGCGTGGTGGCGCATGCCTGTAGTCCCAGCACTTGGGAGGCAGAGGCAGGCAGATCTCTGTGAGTTCAAGGCCAGCCTGGTCTACATAGTGAGTTCCAGGCCACCTGGGGCTACAGGGAGACCCTGCTTCAAAACGACAAAAAGAAATAAAAAAAAGAAAAAAAGAAAGCAGGCTGAGCACAGGCCAGGGCAACAAGTTAGTAAGCAGCGTTCCTCCATGGCCTGTGTAACTTCGGCCTCCAGGGCCCTGCTCTGAGTTCCTACCCTCGCTTCCCTCAGCAATGAACTGTGGTCAGGACGTGTAAACCAAATAAAGCTTTTCCTTCTCAAGTTGGTTTTGGTCAGAGTGTTTTATCTCAGCAAATAGAAAGCAGACAAGGACAAGCTCTAACACTAACAGCCATGAGGTGTCCAAGGGGCTGATCCTCCCTCAGCCTGGCCCCGCACTCACTTCCTGGCTCTCCACTGCCTGTCACCTCTTTTCCTTTTCCTACCCTCCTTCCCGCTTCTGTTGGCTTACCCTCTGAAGTTGGCACCACTGTCTGCTGTCCCATCTGTCCCCTCTGCCTCAGCTCCTGTGATTCTCGGCCCCAGTTCTCCCACTCTGGCTTTACCTGTGGTCCCCTCACAGACTCTTATCCAGCATCTCACATGTCCTCTCCCCAGGGTCAGAGCTGTGCTCTCTCCTCTTTGTGCCATCTCCTTAGATGACGTCACCTTGCTGACCTCCCTTCTCTTCTGCACACCCTCCTCCACCTGTCCCTAGACAAACTGACCTGCTGGGCCCGAGCTCTCCCCTCTGTTTTCCTCTGCACGGTCTGTGAAGCTGGGAGTCAGCACCAGGTCCTACCACCCCAGGACCCCCTGGTTGTCCAGTGGCCCTTGCTCCTCTCACCCCACAGCCAGACCCGAGGAGCTTCTGGCATGTCTCTCTGACCTCTGTTCCTCCTCATGTTATGGTTGACCCTGGGCCCCATGGATGAGTCTTGGACTGTTAAGCCCATCAGTCCAGTCCCATCTACAAGTCAAGTCCTGGTCCAAGAGGACCATGAGTTCCCTGTGGTCCCCACTCTCAGCCGGGCCACGTTACTGGCCCCACCTCACCTCTGCGATTCAGGGTGACCCCCTCATTAATTTCATAGTTGTGTCTGCACAACCTGTCCACCTCAGCTCTCCTCAGCTCCAGCTCATCCTTCAGGCTGTTCCAGTACTTGGCTGTGGGCCGCCCTAGCTCGGTCACGGCGTGGAACTCCCCCACGTCACTGTCGTAATGCACGAACTCCTCCAGGTTATAGATGAATCTTATCACATAGTGCTGTGTCCCATTAACAGCGTGGCATTCGTGTCGTCCACGGCACAGGAAGTTCTCTACGGGGAGCAGGGGTGATGTTGAGCCCTGGGACCGCAGGACCCCACAATTGCTCTGGCTGAGCACATCCTTCCTGACTGCTCCTCCCCAGCTGCCCACTTAGTGCTGAGTCTCCAAATATCTGCTTTTCTAAGAACCAGTTAAAAAATATATATATGTATATATTATTTATTATTTTTATTTTATGTGTATCAGTGTATTCCCTGCATGTGTGTAAGTGCACCTGTGTCAGTAGAATGTCTGTGGAGGTCAGAAGAGGGCTTTGAATCCCCTGGAACTGGAGTTATGGACAGTTGTTAGCTGTCATGTGGGTGCTGGGAATCAAATTCGGGTCCTCTGCAAAAGCAGCCAGTGCTCTTAACCACTGAGCCACCTATCCAACCCCCGTAAGAGCCAGTTTTGAGATCTTGGGGGTCACAGAACCTACTTTTAAACCTCAGTTTCCACGCTGTGGGAGGGTTTACGGGATATAGAGTGACTCCCTGATGAGGAGTGACTGACCTGTGGAAAGGGCAGGAGAACTGAGAAGAAGGTCCAGAGGGGGGAAAGGACGACAGCTCTTAATGTGGGGCCTAGGGAGTCATAGAGTCTCACCAGAGCACAAGGACCCTGCAATGGTGAAACTTCAGGAGTTGTGAACTACCAACTGGGGACTGGGGAGCTGAGCTGACCTTTACTATCCTGGATTCCTGCCCGACCCAGCCATCTGAAGACAGTCTTGGTGCAAGTGTCACCTCCTCCAGGAAGCTTTCCTTTATTTCCCTTTTTTTCCCACAGCAAAGGACTATCCCTTCTGTGCCAATCTTGATAACTTTCTCCAAGTCTGGTTCCAAAAGGGAAAGGCCCACAGGATGGTTCCCTGAGCCAGGCCTTCCAGAATACCTGTTGTGCTCTGCTCTTACCTGGAGTGGTTCTGCCCTGGACCACAGGGTTGCTCTGCACCATTAGTAACACCATCAGAACTGCTATCCAGGGGACCACAGGGACCTGCAGGATCAGCATGGAGCTGGAAGAGGCTGGTGGGATGAGGAAAGGAGCAGCCAGGGGAATGGGGCACCTGGGTGAAATGTCATGACCAAAGTAGTCTTCTGTGACCCTGGGATTGGTCAGACTCTGAGAGAAGAACCAACGGGCACCGAGCTTTCTATGAGTCATCTCTCACTAGGCAGATAGTGTGAAAGGGCTGGCAATTTTGGCTGAGTTGCATATAAGATGACACTGGAGCACAGTGATACTCATATGTGCACACACAATTGCATACACATACACACATGTGCACACTCACAAATAGCTTCCTTGAACTAATTTGCTAATACTTTATTCAAGGCAATCTACTACAAAATGTGAAAAAATATTGATACATTTCATTACTACATTAAATATGAAGTGCGTTGTAATAAAATTACAAATATCAAAACAGACTTCAAAATAAAAATCTTTAAAATAAGACAAGAGCTGGGTGTGGTGGTGCACACCTTTAATCCCAGCACTTGGGAGGCAGAGATCTCTGTGCATTCAAGGCCAGCCTGGTCTACATAGTAGGGCTACACAGAGACTCTATCTCAAAAAGACCAAAAATAAATAAATAAATAAATAAATAAATAAATAAATAAAATAAAATAAGACAGGAAAAGCAAGTTCTTAATGTGGTAAAGAAAAACATAAAACACACAAACAAATGAACATTACCTGCAATACGAAAACATTAGAGGAAGTTCTCTTATAAACAAGAGAACTTGTACAATGTTCGTGTGAATCTGGAATATGAATAGTAATTTAAAGAAGAAAATATTATTTCAGAAAACTTGCATATCAGGAAAATGACAATAATAAGAAACTTGAATAATAATTATATAGAAATCTCACTAAAAAAGGTAAGCAAGAATACAAAAATTCTTTTTTTTCCTATTTAGTTTCTATTCCTAATCATGAACTGAACTCTGCAATCCAGCTAGACTTGGAAGGGAAGAAGGAGAATATGGAACCCAAAGAACTGCAATGAGAGCACAGAGATTATGGGATGCTGAGAGCAGATGGGGTGGAGGGTGCTCTCCTGAGCTGCAGAAGGAATGGTCTGGTGGTTAAGATGCATACAAGTTGAGCCGGGTGTGGTGGCACACGCCTGTAGTCCCAGCATTTGGAAGGCAGAGGCAGGCAGATCTCTGTGAGTTCAAGGCCAGCCTGGTCTACATAGTGAGTTCCAGGCCAGCTGGGGCTACAGGGAGACCTTGTCTCAAAAAGACCAAAATAGATAAAAATAAATAAATAAAAGATGCACACAAACCAAAAGTATTAGAGCTGTCCACAGTTGGCAATGGAGATCTTCTTGCTGGTCTTGCGATCCCTGGACCCAAAGCGCTCCATGGCTTCCACAATGCTCATGCCTTCTTTCACCCTCCCAAAGACCACTTGTTTGCCATCCAACCGCTCATCTTGGCAGAGCAGATGAAAAACTGGGAACCATTCGTGTTGGGTCCAGCATTTACCATGGACAAGATACCAGGACCTGTGTGCTTCAGGATGAGATTCTCATCCTCGAAGTTCTCCCCATAGATCTACTTGCCTCCAGGGCTGTTGTGGCCTGTGAAGTCACCACCCTGGCACATGAATCCTGGAATAGTTCTGTGAAAGGGGAACCCTTACAACCAAACCCTTTCCAGTACTCAGAGCATGGAAACTTTCTGCTGTCTTTGGAAATTTGTCTGCAAACAGCTCAAAGGAGACCCAACCCGAAGGCTTGACATCAACCATGATGTTGAAGAACACAGTGAGGTTGACCATGGCTGACAGCAAGTGACTACAGGGGACAGCAGTGTCTACAAAACCGTCAGGATTATAAAAATTCTTAAAGGCAAACTTTTAGCTAATTAAAATCTCAAATACAAACTATAAAATTTCCACACAAATGAAATCTCAGGTAGGACTAAGATTACTTTTTTTTAGTGTGTTGCCCCCTAAATAACAGCAGGGTATTTTTGTAAACTTGATGACATCGCTTTTAAAAGCTTTGGGGGGGGCAGTGAACAGAACATCACAGTTGATCTGCTGTCTGGGTGGTCGTGGTGTGGGGAGGGCAGGAGACTAATCCTATCAAATGCCAGAGTGCACTACAAGAATTTGGTGTCAGATGTGTGCCTTCTGTCCTCAAACCTCCCTTTGACTCTGACAACAAACTGTGATTGAAGTTCCCGTGGCACACTGGCCCCTGAAAAGCCTCCCTTCTCCTCTTTAGCCCCTTCCACCTTTCTTTCTACCCAGCAACAGCAGCGTCAGCTCTATTGCATCTCTGATTGGCTAAGCCTGGCCGTGCTGATCCTCTTCACTATTATATTCAGGCTGTAGAAGCCCACAGTTTCACAGTTCCTGTCTGTCCCCGTCCTGCCCGAGTTCCTCATCACAGTTCCGTGCCCACAGTCATCAACTGTAGGTACCCAGCATGTGCTCTGAAGACAGAATGTTCCAGACCAAGGCTGTGGTCCCGAGAGCCCTCTTCCTGGCTCTTCTGCTGAGTCTCCCAGGAGCTGAGGCCATCAAGGGTGAGTGGTCAGGAGGATGAGGAGGGCGGGGGACACAAGGTGGGATGGACAGCGAGGTAACTGCTCTAGAATGAGAGGTTCTGGGGGCTCATTGATTCATTTCCTGTGTCTCTCCTCCCTTTATTCCTGCTGTTCACCTCGGCTCCTTAGTGAGTGTAACAGCAACAGCTGCCTTACTGTCTCCACTTCATTGAAATCTTTTCATCTCCATCTTAGAGATTAAAACACTGAATCTCAAAAAGATTAAAAATTCCCAAAGTTATACAGCTACTTGAAGAACCAAGGTTCAAATCCAGCCCCAGTTCTGATGGTCAGACTCTGCACTCCCCAATTTCTGCACAAGAGGATTTTATAGCTGAGCCCTGCTGGGACCCCACAAGCCCCTTTGCGTCTCCAGATCCCCAACCTCTGCTTTGTGTGGCTGTTTTTAAGGGGCTCAGAGGTGTGGGCTCTGTAGAGGAACCTGGACGGGAATTCCTCAGGATCCTAGGGCCCTTCCAGGATCAGTATGGGTGGTTCAAGGCTTCTTCTCACAAGGAAGTGGTGTTTCATGTGTTTGTCAGCCTCCTGATTCAGGTCCTGAGAGACCCAGGAGACTATTTCTTCCCCAAGAGGTGTAGACTTTGGATACCCACAAGGACTCAGCCAGAGATAAAAATGATCATTAATGCTCTGTTTCTTTCTTCTGACATCAGAGAATATTAGGCCTGTGCATGATGTCATCCAACAATTCAGGGATGAGAAGGACCAGAGTTCAAAATATGGGCCGGATGTGTTGGTGCACGCCTGTAGTCCTGACACTTGAGAGACTGAGTTTGAAGGTCTGAGAGTTTGAGGCCGGCCTAGGCTAAATACATGACCATATCTCAAAATCAAAACCCAAATAAAACCCCCAAAACAAACAAATAAATAAAACAATATTTTATAGCAAAACAAATACACTCTGGCCCTGGACAGTTTGAGGTAGAAATCCAAGAGTAGATAGAAGTAACGGTAATTTGGTTTGTTTTAAATGCTTTCAGTTGGGTTACTTGCTTTCTTAATTCTTTGTTTTTTTCTGAGTTCTTTATATATTCTGGATGTAAAACCTCTGTCAGATGTGTCACTGGTGAAGATTTTCTCTCACTCTGTGGGTTTTTTCTTCACTTCCTTGGTTGCTTCTTTAGATGTACAGAATCTTTTTAGTTTAATGAGGTCCCATTTGTTGATTCTTGACCTTAATTCCTGAGCAACTGGTGTCTGATTTAGAAAATCCTTTCCTATACCTATGCCTTGTAGGTTATTGCCAATGTTTTCTTGTAACAGTTTCAGAGTTTCAGGCTTCACATTGAGGTCTTTGATCCATTTGGAGTTGACTTTTGTGCAGGGTGAAAAATAAGGGTTTAGTTTCATTCTTCAGGTGGAGATCCAGTTTTGCCAGCACCATTTGCTGAACATGCTGTCTTTCCTCCAGTGAATGTTCTTGGCCCCTTTGTCAAATATCAGGTGGCTGAAATTGCATGGACTCATATTTGGGTCTTCAGTTTTGTTCCATTGATCTATGGGTCTATTTTTGTGCCAGTACCATGCTGTTATGACTATAGCTCTGTAATACAGTTTAATATCTAGTATAGTAATCCTCCCAACTTTGCTCTTAGTGCTCATGGTTGCTTTGGCTATCCAAGGTCTCTTGTGCTTCCATATGACTCTTAGGATTGTTTTTTCCAATTCTGTGAAGAATGTCATGGGGATTTTGATTGGCATTGCAGTGAATCTATAAATGGCTTTTGGTAGGATGGTCATTTTCACAATATTAATTCTTCCAATCCATGAGCATGGGAGGTCCTTCCATCTTCTGATGTCTTCCTCAATCTCTTTCTTTAAAGATATTCTGAGATATTTTATTTATTTATTTTTTGAGGCTATTGGGAATGGCAGAATTTCCCTGTATTCTTTCTCTAATTGCTTGTTATTGGTATATAGAAAGGCCACTGATTTTTGTAGATTGATTTTATAACCTGCCACTTTACTGAAAGTGTTAATCAGCTCTAGGACTTTTTTGGTGGAACTTTTGGGATCTCTTAGGGATAGTATCATATCATCTGCAAAAAGTGATAGTTTGACCTCTTCTTTTCCAATTAGTACTCCTTTAATTTCTTTCTCTTGTCTTACTGTTCTAACATGAGTTTTAAGCACTACATTGAAAAGGAATGGAGACCGTGGACAGTCTTGTCTGGTTCCTGATTTTAGTGGGAATGCTTTCAGTTTTTCTCCATTTAGTATGATGTTAGCCTGTGGACTTGTTGTATATTGCCTTTATGTTGTTGAGATAAGTTCCACATATCCCTAGACCCTCCATGACTTTTATCATGAATATATGTTGGATATTGTCACCAAAAGCCTCTTCTGCATCTAATGAGATGATCATGTAGTTTTTGTCATTGAGTCTGTTTAATGATATGGGACTATATTATTCTTTTTTTGATTGTATCTTTACCTGGCTTTGTTATTAGAGTGATGCTGGCTTCATAGAAGGAACTTGGAAGTTTTTGCTCTGTTTATATCTTTTTGAATATATTAAATAATATTGGATAGGGATCTTTAAAAGTCTGGTAGAATTCTGCTGTGAATCCATCTGGGCCTGGACTTTATTTAGTCAGGAGATTTTGTATTACTGTTTCAATTTCTGTATGTGTTATAGATCTGTTTAAGCTGTTGATCTCTTCTTGGTTTAGTTTTGGTGGTTCCCATGATTTTAGATATACATCCATTTCTTTTAGGTTTCCAAATTTAATAGCATATAGGTTTTTAAAGTATTCCCTGACAATGTTCTGGATCTTTTTGGTGTCTGTTCTGTTTCCCCTTTCATCTCTGATTTTGTTGATTTGGAGGTGCTCTTTCTTTCTTTTGGTTAACTGGGCTAAGGGTCTGACTATCTTGTTTATCTTTTTAAAGAACCAGCTCTTGTATTCATTGATTCTTTGTATTGTTTTCTTTGTTTCTATTTCATTATTTTCTGCTCTGATTTTTGTTATTTCTTCTTGTCTGCTGGGTTTGGGTTTCATTTGTTGTTGCTTTTCAAGTGTCTTGAGTTGCAACATTAAGTAATTTATTTGTTCTCTTTCTGACTTTTTTTAAAAAAAATATTTTATTATTTTTATTTTATGTGTATGAGTGTTATGCCTGCATGTATGAGTGTACCCATATCGTGCAATGCCCACGGATGACAGAAGAGGCTGTCAGATTCCCTGGAACTGGAGTTATGGACAGGTCTTAGCTGCCATGTGGGTGCTGGGATTTAAACCCGGGTCTTCTGCAAGAACAGCCAGTGTTCTTAACCACTGAGCCATCTCTCCCACCCATCTCTTTCTGATTTTTTAATGTAGGCACTTAGAGCCTCGTAGGCACTTGTTCCCTCGTAATACTGGTAATACTGCTTTTTTTTTTTTTTGTCTTTTTGAGACAGGGTCTCCCTGTAGCCCCAGCTGTCCTGGAACTCACTATGTAGACCAGGCTGTCCTTGAACTGACAGAGATCTGCATGCCTCTGCCTCCCAAGTGCTGGGATTAATGGCATGCGCCACCATGCCCCACTAAGACTGCTTTTTAAAGTGTCCCAGAGGTTTTGTTGTGTTGTGTTGTATTGTCCTTTTCATTTAGTTCCAGGAATACTTTTATTTCTTTCCTAATTTCTTCTTTGTCCCATTCATCTTTCACAAGTGTGTTGCTAGGGTTTCTTCTGGTGTTGATTTTAAGCTTTATTGTGTTGTGGACTGATAGAATGCATGGAATTATTTCAGTTTTCTTGTATTTGTTGAGGCTTGTTTTGTGCCCCAGTATATAGTTGATTTTGGAGAAAGTTCCATGGGGTGCTGAGTAGAAAGTATATTCTTTGGTGCTTGGGTGGAATATTTGGTAGTTATCTGTTAGGTCCATTTGATGTTTGGTATTGTTTATTTCAGATGTCTCTACTGTTAGTGAGTTGGGGTTAATCTAGGTCTTAAAGTCCTATAGTACTGTTTTTATAAAGTTGGTTACACCAGAGTTTGGTGCATATATGTTCATGATTGTAATATTGTCTTGGTCAATTGATCCTTTCATCAGTATGAAGTGACCCTCTTTATCTTTTCTTAGTTTTAGTCTGAAATCTATTTTGTCAGATATTAGATTTGCAATTCCTGCTTTTGTCTTAGTACCATTTGCTTGTTATATTTTTTTCCATCCTTTCACCTTAAGGTAAAAGTAGTGCCTGTCCTTGAAGGTGAGATGGGTTTCATTCAGACAGTAAAGAGATGGATTTTGTTTCTCAATCCATTCAACTAGCCTGTGTCTTTTGACTGGGGAGTTCAGTTCATTGATATTTAAATTTATTAATGAAAGATGTGTATTGATTCCTGTCATTTTGATTTCTATTTGCATTCTTGGTCTAACTGTGCATTTCCACATTTATACCTTCATTTAGTTTCTTTCTGTTACTCCTGGGGTATAGTTGTTCCTGTCTTCAGCTCTTTGTATTGCTTCAAGAATTCTCTGAAGGGCTGGTTTTGTGGACATGAATTCTTTCATCCTCTTTATGTCATGGAAGATTTTTCTTTCCCCTTCAACTATGATAGACATTTTGCCTGGGTAAAGTAATCTGGGTTGGCATCTGTGGTCATTTAGGACTGGGAATACTTTGGTCCAGTCTCTTCTGGTTTTCATATTTTGCACTGAAAGTCAGCCATACAATTCTGATGGGCTTTCCTTTATATGTGTTTTTGCAGCTTTCAGTATTCTCTTTTCATTCTGCATGTTTAGTGTTTTTACTATGATATGCCATGGGGAGTTTCTTTTCTGGTCCTATTTGGTGTTCTGTGTGTTTCTTGTATTTGTATGGGCATGTCTTTCTATAATTTTGGGAACTTTTCTTCTACAGTCCTGTTGACGATCTGGTCCATACTGTTATCCTGAGATTCTTCTCCTTCCTCTATACTATGGTATGTAAATTTAGTCTTTTCATGGTGTCACATTTCCTGCATATTC